CCCCCCCCCCCCCAGCTCCTAGCGATAACCAAGGCTTTCGCCTCAAAGGGAGAAGGGCGAAGGCCCTTTTCTGACCTGCAACGCTGGAATTCTCCATGTGGCCTCCTTTCCCCCTCCGTCCCAGCACCCCTTCTGCCTCTGGCCTGGAATAACAGTCTCTCTCCTTGCCTGAAATTATAACAGCAACAATAAAAGAAAATGCAACACAGACCTGCCTCTCTTGCACTTTGGGAGGGGATCAGGGCTGGGGCTTTTGGACCCGAGGGAGTCCTTAACGTTTAAGATTCCGTCCTATCTCTTCTTGCACGGCTTCGAAAAGTCCTTTAAAAGCGCAAGACGCTTCTCCGTGCCCGGCCATTTTGGTGTTGCTGCTTCTCCCAAAGGGTCAGATCCTGTTGGGCCTTTCTGGACTGGATGACCATGTGTCAGGAGCCGGACAAAGCTCGGCTCCTGCACGTGTCCCTCTCAAAGCCCGCCCCTTGCCTGGCGAAGAATGCTACAGCCCTCCCCTCGCTCTTTGGCTGGCTCTGCCCCTCCCAAGTGGGAGCTGTGGATGTGGGGACTTGGGGGGACTGAAGCGGCCGGAGTGGCTTCTTTCGGGAGGGTGGGGAGCGGCAAAATAGTTGCCTCGTTGTTCTTCCTCGATGGCCTGGCATTGAAGGAAGCCCCCCTCCGCTCCTGGGGATTTAGAGAGGATTTAGATAAGAGGGAGATTGGGTTGCAGAGTCTCCTTCATGGCTTGGAGCAGGCTGTGGCCCTTCCACCTCCTTTGCAGCGGCCCTTTATCCCTTAATGCCACGTCACCCAACACCTTGGGCCCGCAGTTGCCCAAAACATTGCATAAGCTGTGCTTCCTGTCAAGCGCCCGAGGGACGGGTATAAATCTGGGCGTTCCAGAGGGGCCGTCACCCCTTCTGCCTCTCCATCAGTACGCGAGGAGCACCAGCGCAGACCCACCAGCATGAAGGCCACCCTGCTCAGCCTCGCCGTGTTGTGCGTGCTTGGTGTTCAGGCCGACGTGGAAGTGGAACCAAATTTCGATATTGCAAAGGTAACGCTTGTGGGGGGGGGGGGGGGGGGGCTGGGGATGTCCGAGCTGCTTCCAGGGCTCCAGGTCCGGGCAAGAGCTTGCAACCACATCTCCTAACTTGCAGCCCTTGTGGAAGCATCTGGCTGTAGATCTCCCCCACAAACACTCTGTGGCCATCAGCTAAATTGTCCCTCCGCGTTCAAGTGCAGTCTACCTCAGCACAATATGCGTCAGTGCTTCCTGAGGCTTTACAGTTTCATGGGCTTGCTGGTGGTTTCCTTCTCTGGGGATTTTCTCCCGGGCTCTTAACCCCCCAGTCCGAGCCTTCAGACGGGCAAGAACGGCATCCGTTCCAGGGGCAAAATGTAAAGGGCACAACCGCATTGTGAGGGCCTGGGGTGGGGGGGCTGCAACGCTGGTCCCACCATGCTGGCCTCTCCAGTTTGCAGGGAAGTGGCACGTCCCGGCCCTTGCGTCCAACGACCCGATGCTCCAGGGCTTGAAGGATGTCATGAAGACGCCGGCGGCGCGGATTAATCTCTTGCCAAACGGCAACGTGGAATTAGAAACTTACTACCTTTTGTAACTACCTTTTGTGGTTGGGCCCCTCCTTGACCCCCAAAACGGTGCTGATGAAATCTGCCATGTCACCCAGGAAGTCTTGGGGGGCTGGGGGGCCACACCTGAAACATCGTCCTGCCTGCCTGTGGTTTCATGACGGGTGCCCCAGGGCTAGATCTCATAAGAACCCCTGAAAACTGCCCCCCCGCCCAGATGGGAGTGAATGATAGCATTCCCAAAGCAATTCCAGAAAGGGCGTCTCTTTTGCAATCCCGAACTCTTTCCCCACTTTGCTTGTCTTTCCTGCTTTAAAGGGGAGAAAAATGTGAATTAATGAAGAGCACACTTATGAAGATGGAACAACCTGGACACTTTAAAGAGGCTGATGGTAAGGAGGGAGGCCCCTTATTTGGAACTGGGTGCCTGGATCGTGAATCAGGGCTTTCTTCCTCCGAAAGAAGCGTTTAAGAAGTCCTAAGGGGAGCATGATTCTGAGCACGTGCAGAGTGTCCCACTTGATTCTCAGAGTGTATGGATGGGAATGAGGAGCAGGGACAGCTGGGAGAGCATCAAAGGCCAGGCTACTGACCGAGGGGGGTGGGGTCCGTCTGCTTCCTCACCTGCAGAGAACAACAAGAAGGAGATTTGGGTCCTGGCCACCGATAACGCCAGCTTCGCCATCATCTATATCCAGCGGGAAGGGAAAGATATGCCCCCCAGCAAGAGTCTCCAGCTTTACAGTAGGTGACTTGGCAGCCTGGCCTGGCTGCAAAAGGCGAGGTAGTGGCGAAGCACCCTCCTGCTTCTTGAACCCAGGGCCACGTGGCTGCCGGCATTCCTTAGAGGCCCCAATTAGAAGGAAGGAAAGGGACCAGCCAGAGCAGCGTGGGACGGAGGAGGCAGGCCGTAAACCAAAGCAGCCTCACCCTGCCCACCAAAGGGGGGCTGTGGATGATGGGTGTGGGGATGGCTGTTCCTCGCCCCCTTGGCTTGAGCCAGTGAGCGAGACTGCCTGTTTCAACCTTGGCTCGCTTTTTTGCTCCCACTGACTTACCTTTCCATCTGCCAACTGCCTTGCACCCCTTCTGCAGGAGCATCAAGCAAGGCTTGAACTCAGATTCCTGCCACTTAGCGCTTCCCCAGTGGTTCCTCCTCCAGTGGGAAGTTTGCAGATTGCTCCTCAGAGCCTCCCAAGCTCAGCGCACATGTAAGCAAGCTCTGACCTTGTCTCTCTGCTCTGTGGTCCCCTCTTCCCACGCAGGCAGAGTTCCAAACCCAGGGGAGAACTTGGCCACATTCAAGAAACATTGCGAGAAGATGGGGCTCTTGGGCGAACTGGTGGTTCCACCCTTGTCTGGTGAGTGGAGGGTCCCTTCTTTCCTGCCTTTGCTTTAGAGACCCCTTTCTGAGGTTTTTAAGTCCATTTCCTATTTCTCATACTGCTGGGGGCGGGGTGGGGGGTGGTTTCCAGACTCATTTGCAGCTGGAGGGGTCCACATTTTACCCCGGCCCAGTCCTGCTGGCTCTTCCCCAAGACCAGCTGGCTGGGCAGAACCGGCTCCAAGCAGGGGACCCAGAAGGCAGGCCGAACTGAAACGGGGACTCTAGGGAGTGGCAGAGGAAGAAGGACGTGTGCTGCACGCCGTTCGGCGGCTTGCCGTGGCTCTGGCTGTGGCTCGTGGGAGTGGTGCCCTCTGCAGCTTCCCCCGTCCATCAGGGTTCCCTGTCCAGATGTGGGTGGGCTGCAGAGGCTGTTCTGGCATAGAACACCTGGGAGTCCCAGAACAGCCAGGAGAGACCGGCCTGGGAGCAGCAGCAGGAAACCGTAGCTCAGGGAATCGCGAACCCCACAGGGTGGCAGGGAAGCGGTTGCACTGGACCCGTCTGCTGGGAGCCCCCAGACCCCAGATGATCCACCCTGGCTGAGTGGGAGCTGCCCCCTCCTGCCCAGGGCCCCCTCTAGCGGTCCCTAAGTCCTCTCCACTCTTTGAGACTGACAGATCTCTTTCTTTGCACTGCAGATAGATGTTTCAAGGAAATTAGGTGAGTGGGGCGCCTCGCAAAGGGTTGGGATGGGGGACGGGGGACGGAATGATCTTTCTTATGGTGGCACACTGGGTCTGTCCTCCAGCTGTTCAGGCTGCTTGTGTGCAGAGGAGAGATGCCTGTAAGCTATCCCTGGTGAGGGACGGTGCGTGTGTGTGGCTGTAGCGCGTCTGAAAATTTCCCTGCTGCAGCGAGACATCTCAGGAGTTAGATTCATCATCAAACCGGTCTGGTGTCTTGTCTCTAGACAGACGGAGTCTAGTTTGGTAACGCCTGCGTGGATGAGTCTGCAGAGATATGCTGGTGGAAGAAGACGAGGGACTTCTGGGGTGCAGACCTCATTCCCCATTTCAGGGGTTACCCACACCTGTCTCTGCTGTTTTATTTTGCAGCGGCTGAAGGGAACCCAACCTCCATCTTCAGCCAAAGATCTCTCTTGCTCCTGATGCTCAGGCCTGGAGGCCAGGATTGCTGACCAGCCATCTCTCGCTCTCTCCCCCTGCTCCTCTCTGTCATTTGCCTGCCCGCGCTCATCACTTTCTGTGGAATAAATAGCTTACAAAATTCCCTCTTTTTAGCAATGTTTTTTTTTTGTGGGGAAGATGCTGATGACCACAGCACCAAAGAAAAGGCTCCCGCAGGTTCCTCCAGTTGGCTGAGGCCCAGGGAAGCTGAACATTAAAAAAGTTCAAGAGCAAGCTTGAATAAATCATTCTCCAAGCGCTCACAACATAAATGACAATTCTGTATCTTTGATCCGCTCAGCTCACTTATTGGCCTGAGTGGGGTGCAAAAGTTATTTAAAACAGTTAGAAACTAAAAAGGATAAACTTCCTGGATATTGTCTTCTTCCTGTGGTTGCCCTATAAATTACAGAAGTCTCTTCACATCTCTTACAAATAGAAGCTTTTGTTTTTACAATGCACATCACAACACGTCCTTTAAACAATGGGATCTTCCTAGAAGGAAGGGGGGGAGTCTAGGAGCGTATGGGGATGTGAGGCTCCACTTGCTGGGTGAGAGCCAGGAGGTGTGAGTGTGTGCATGGGATGCCCGCCCTGTCGACTAGTGAGAGAGGTCGTGCAGGGGGCAGAGTGTGATTGTGGTGTGAGGTTGGTGGGGGGTGGGTCTCAGCCTGCGCCGAGAGTGTGAGCTGGTGCATGGGCGAGATCTCCCCTCTCCTGGGACTGTTTGGTTTTGAATGTAGATGTTTGATTGGATGGAGGGATCTTTGCTCCAGATTGGGGACTCCAAGGGCCTGGGATTGGAGGTACTTGGGCCTGGCACCCCCGGGATGATGGGGGGCCACATTATCGAGGTGGTGATGGGTAGGGGACGTTATGGCGGGAGCAGGGGGCCGGGCCATCTTCGGGGAAGACGCCCCCAGTGTGTGCTACCGGTGGTGTGTTCCGGCCCCCCTTCCTCACTCCCAGGTCCTGGCCAGCAGGTTCATAGGGGCCCTGGCCTCCGGCTGCTGCTGCTTTATGCCAGGTCCATTAAAAACAAGGCCCC